ATCTCCGTCTCACTGCCCTCGGCCAGCTGGACTGTTCGCTGCTGGCAGGGTGGGCCCCAGGCAGGAGGAGGGTGAGACGGCGGGGGCGGAGGGGGAGGGTAACCCAGAGGAGCCTGCGGCCTGTCCAGGTGAGGGGGGTAGCCAGATGGACGATTTCGCCCGCATCCTGTTCCCGTCGCCGTCCTCGGGCTGTCTGAGGCCCTCCTTTGCGGCGCCCAGCCTGTCCATCATGTGCGAACGAACCTTCTCCGGCTCCACCCTGGTGCCTCCTGGGCAGTTGTATGTCGACGGATCGTCCCAGAGGGGGTAGGTAATGGGCACGTGCAGCGCATCCTCGGGGATTGCGATGCCAGGTAGCGAGCGCACCCCGTCGCGGGCAACCAAGGGCTGGACTGGTTTCCAGCCGCGCCAGGCCAACCGCGTGACAGACACCTGGTGGGTAGCGTCGTAGGGGTTCCCTCCGCACATGCACCAAAGATTCCCAGGAGTGGTGAAGGTGTTCGGGTCTGGCCACCCGTCCTGGTACCGTGCCACCGACATGTCGTAGTGCTTCGCGCTTAGGATGTGTTCAGTGTCGTCGACGGGCTCCTGGCAGATCTCGCACCAGCGTCGCCAACCGCCGTGGAAGTAGACCCAACGCATCCAGGGACAGAAGCGGGCCAGGAAGACGCGCGTGCCCGCGCGCATTGGCGGCCCTTCGTCACTGCACGGTAGGCAGGAGGGCCAGCGGCGGAGGGGGCCCTGGTTGTTTCTGGTCATTGTCCAGGGTGGGAACCTGTCCAGGATGGCAGCGGAAGGCTGCGCTTCTTGTGATGGCAGTGACGCTGCGACCCGCCAGGACCTTAGTGTGTCGCGGCGGGGGGGCGATCAGAGAGGGAGGAGGGGGGGGGATTTTCGAGGGCATCAACGAACAGCGCAACTTGGTCCAAGTCACAGAGGTCGATGTCCGCGGCAGGAAACAGGGGGGGGGGGGGGCAGCTGGGAGCCCTCCCAGAAGACCCAGGAAGTGACGGCTAGATCGCCGGCGCGACGAAGGGCATCGGCCCAGAAGACACCTAGCGTGGCAAGACGGTCAGCTGCTTTGTTGAGGCGACGACGCACGGCCTGCCATGTAAGTGTCCATCCGGCTTCGCTGGCTTGCCGAAGGGCGAAGTCCATCTGCTGTGCCAGGTGGAGCCGGCGATAGCGGCCCGTGCCGGCTCCGTACCGGATGGCGGCAAGATTGTCGCCGACCACCCGGGCACCTCGGAGGGTGTTGTCAAGGTGGGGGAGCAGGGCGAGTCCCGCTCTGCACCCAGATGCCTCCGCCGTCTGTGCATTGTCGCAGCCCAGGAGGGCAACAACGGTAACCGCGACAACGCGCGGGTAGCCGCGATGCGGGTCGTGTTTCCAGAGGACAGCTGCCGCCCCGGAGACCTTGTCGTCTCCCCCAATTCGGCGAGCCCCCCCGTCGAAGGTGAGCTCGAAGGGCCATTGAGCCGCATCGGCAGCGGGGAGCGGGGAGTCTCTGACGGTGATCTCCTCGCCAGCTTCCATGTCCCTGCTGGCCCTGAGCACCAGGGTATGCAGGTCGCAGAATCGGCAGTAGCTCTTGGTCCAGAGGGCACTGGGGAACCTGTCTGTCCTGGGGCAGGGGAACCAGCCCAACCCAGACGGCATCCAACTCGCTCTGGTGTCGCCCGTTTGGAGAACGGCGAGCCGATCCCCACTCCGCACGATCCTGGTCGTGACAGGGAGGCGCCGGATTTCCCCTCCGGCGCGTGGAGCTTGTCTGCCGAGATGCGGACCAGCGGCCCCCTGAATGCGCAGCAGGTGCGGGCCTTGAGGATTGCAAAGTTGACAGGGCAGCAGCATGGGGGCCCAGACTGCAGTTTCATCAGCCGATGCGGCAGGGGCCTGCCCTTCTTGTATGTCTTCTTCCTCGTCACTATCTTCCTGGAGGTCGGTGTCTGGTACGGAGATCCCCTGGACAATGATTCTGGCGGCTTCGACGGCTCCGATGGGGGCACAGTCCAGGTTCACACAGCATCTGAAGGAGATCTGGTGTAGAAGGCGGCAGACCAGTCTCTGGTGCTGCCCCCTGGAGCATCTCGCGGTGGGAAGGTCTCTGGGGTGGTCAGGGCCTTTGGTCTTTTCCCAGGCGAGGGCGGCGGCGGGGCACCAGCCCCACACGTGCTCAGAAGTGGTTTCTCCCAGGCCGCAGAGAGGGCAGGCTCCGTAGAGTCCTTGCTGTATGGGAACGGTAATGTGCCCGAGTTGCCCTCTTCTCTCCGCAGCAAGTGGACACAAGTCCTCGGGCAAAGCGTCGTCGCCAAGGAGGGGCCAGAGGGAGGCCTCTCCGGTCCAGGGCCCGAGGCACGAGTCGCACCAGGCCTGGCCGCGATCCCGTTGTCCAGCGGTGAGCCAGACTCTATTGGCCATCCTGCCGCAGCCGCACTGGTGGGGGATCCTGTCAGCGACGTTTCGTCTACGCGCGGATCCGGGTAGTCCGTTGGCCAGAACGCGGAGGACGTGGTGTGCCTCGGTGAAGGAGGCGCAGTGCCCGAGAAGGGACCATTCCGCACCGTCTGTTTGAGCCCACCTACGCTCGTGGCTGGTTGTGGAGAACCAGGAGCTCACCACGTGCCCGTGGAGCTGCGTCCAGGCCGCAACGTAAACTACGCGCCCGAAGTAGCGGGCCCGGCGCCTAGGGGGCTCTCTCAAGGCGCGATTGAAGAGGTCAGCGGCCCTGGCGTCGGTCAGCACCTTGGAGCCGGGCCTACGTGGCTCATCCCGAGGGGCGAAGTCCCGCGCCCATTTCACGAGTTTGTTCCACCTTCTCCCCGCCTTATGTCTCGCCTGTAGGGCCCCCCACAGGTCGCCAAGGGCGTGCGCCCTGGCCGCGATCGCACGCGAGGTACTGGTGGGGTTACGCGAAGCGTCTAGAATTCAGCTGCTGTCAGAAGAACTCGAGAGGGCGTGCGCGTGCAGATGGTTTCCAACCATCTTGTGGTGTGACGTCCTCGTTTTGAAGAAAGAATCCCTGCGTTTCCTCCTCCTTTCTTCCACCTCCCCCTCCTCCTCCCCCTCCTCCCTCCTCCCGTCGCCCCCCTGGCACGCCCTTCGCGCGCTTCGTGGCCCGCATAGGGAGTTCCGCCGAAGGCGCCAATGGCTGCGTTCGCATGCCGCCCACTCTCTAGTTTGGAACACCCCTTACATGCTTCGTGGCCCCATGGGGAGCGCCACCGAATGCGCCAGTTGCTGCATTGTCATGCCGCCCCAAAAATTCACTTTAGCACACCCCTCACAAGCTTCGTGGCCCCATCCAACGAAAGCCCAGTGACTGCGCTCGCATGCCAATCCCCTCCCCTCCAATTTGGCACACCCCTCACACGCTTCATGGCTCCATAGGAAGCTCCATCGAAGGCCCCTGTGGCTACGTTCCCATGCGTCTCCCCCACCCAGCACAGCGTTGCGTGGCCCAATATGGGATGTCCACCGAAGGCCCCAATGGCGGTGTACGCATGCTTTTCCTACACCCAGCACCAAGCTTCGTGGCCCTACTGGGAACTCCACCGAAAGCACCACGGGCGGTGTCCGCATACGTTTCCCCCACCCAGTACAGCGTTCCGTGGCCCCGTAAGGAATTCCACTGAAGGCACCAGTGGCGGTGTCCGCATGCGTTTGCCCCACCCAACACAGCGCTTCGTGACCCCAAATGGAGCGCCACCGGAGGCCCCAGTGGCGGTGTCCGCATGCGTTTCCTTCAGGCAGCACAGAGCACTTCGTGACCCCATAAGGAGCTCCACCGAAGGCCCTAGTGGCGGTGACCGCATGCGTCCCCCCACCCCTGTACAGGGCCTCGTGGCCTCATAGGGAGCTCCACCGAAGCAGTGGCGGTGACCGCAGTCGCCCCCCCCTCCCAGCATAGCGCCCCATGGCCCCACAGGGAGCTCCACCGAAGGCCCCTGTGGCGGTGTCCGCATGCGTTTCCTTCAGCCAGCACAGAGCACTTCGTGACCCCATAAGGAGCTCCACCGAAGGCCCCAGTGGCGGTGACCGCATGCGTCCCCCCAACCCTGTACAGGGCCTCGTGGCCTTTTAGGGAGCTCCACCGAAGGCCCCAACGGCGGTGTTCGCATGCATCCCCCCCCCAGCACAGCGATTCGTAGCCCCAAATGGAGCCCCACCGAAGGCCTCAGTGGCGGTGTTCGTATGCGCCCCCCCCTGCCCTATACCCAGTACAGCACCTCATGGCCCCGTAGGGAGCTCCACCGAAGGCCCCACTCGCGGCGTTCGCGTGCGCATCCCCTACTCAGCACAGGGCTTCGTGGCCCCACAGGAAGCTCCACCGAAGGCCCTGTGGCGACGTTCGCATGGCGGCCCCACTCAACTTCGGCGCACCGCACATACGGTTCGTGGCCCCATATGCAGCGCCACCGAAATCCCCAATGGCTGCGCCTGCATGCGTCCCCGCCCCATCTCGGCACACACTTTTCACACGCTTCGTGGCCTCATGAAAAGACCCACCAACGCCGATACTCACAACGGCGATACTCACAAGTGCATCTGGTTAGGCCCTTCGTCAAGAGAAATTGATGTTGGTGTTGACAATACTGTTGGGAGCCACCGGTGTGTTCGGATGCGCTCGGGAACACCAACCTTGAACTAGATGTTGAAAGGATTTCAACATGCGTACGCGATGACGCACGCACGCGTGGACTTCAACGCAGGTATAACACCATTTGACAGGGATGAGGGGGACGGTGCGAATGCACGGGGCTCCCAGGGATGGTAGAAATTCACACGGAAAACGAGCGACGAGGCAGAATCATATGTAAACTGCGAGGTCGCAGGGGGGATAAGTCCTGGCTCGGCTGATTGGTGTCACAATGTGGTGCAAGCTGTGTTGTGCAAGCTGTGTAGTGCAAGCGACGTGGAGCAGGCTACATGGTGCAAGCTACGTGGTGCAATCTATGTGGTGCGAACTATGTGGTGCAAACACTTTGCTTCACACTGACCGCACACCCAAACCGCAACGCGACAGGGCGCACGGTTCATGGGCTCCCGCGGGAGCCCATCAAGCCAGCGCCTACTGGGACCCGTCAGGTCAGCCCCTAAGGAGCCGACTCTCGCAGATCACCTGGCCCTCTTGGCCGCACGGGCCGCGCGAGCCCTGGCCAGCAGGGCGGGCCGGCACTCCTCCCGCACCCGCGGACCCGCTCGCCCTGCAGCTTGTGCAACCCCCACTCCTGCCAGCGCCTGGCGATGAGCTTCGCGGCCTGTTGCCGACCGCCCGCGCACGGCTGGGGCACCGAGCACCACCAGGAAGGCCCGCGCACGCGGCCCCCGCAGGACCACGGCAGCAGGCCCTCAACGACGTGATCCTCCTCGCCGTCCTTCTCGCCCGCACTCGTGCCGCCGCCCCCGGAGGAGCCGCACTCCTCGTCCTCCGGGTCCGCGGCCTCCGCTTCGAGAGGCACCAAGGCGCCCACGCCCGGTCCCTCGACCAGCGCCTGCAGCGTCGCGCCGCCCTGCACAGGCTCGACAACGTCCCCATCGAACTCCTGGCTGCTACCTTTGGCCTTTTGCTGCGTGCCTCACGTCTCCGCCTCCACGCCCTGGGCCGCCACTCCACCGTGAACTTCGCCACCGACTTGAGCGGCCACCTCGTCGATGTTCCTGCCCACCAGCTCCTTGAAGCCTTTCCACCAGCGCGCGCCCGTCGCCAATGACGGCGCTGGCAACTCGGCGGCGCGGCTCACACGCTCCGCCAGGCGGAACCGCAGCCCCCTCGGAGCGCTCCTCGCACGGCGCTCCGCCACCGTCCACTCCACCAGGCGGCAGTCCGCAGGCGTCCATAGAGCTGGGCAACGACTCCATGCCCTGTTCCGTGCGCCCTGCTTCTCCAGTCCGTGCAGCTCCTCGGACTTTTCGTGATCCGGATCCAGCTCTCTGCTCCCCCCTGGCCCTCGCCATGGCAACCCCGCCAGCAGCACGTCGCCGCCGACATCGCCTGTCGCCACCGCGCCCGCTGCCGCCGCACGCGGCCCGATGCCGCCCTCGCCTAAAGGGGCCCTGGGACACACAAATAAATACACACACAAATTCAAAGATTCCCCATACTTGTCCGCATTGTTTGGATTTGTGTCTCCCCCCCACTTCCCACAGTTCCCCATCCTTTCCTGGGGATCGACGATTCACTGCGTCTGTTTGCTTTATTCTCCTCCGCCCTCGCCGTCGACCTCGAACACGGCCTCGCCCGCGTCCTCGTGTCTAAAACAGGGCTAGGATCGGGATAAATCGCTCCAGAGCGTTCCGGAGCTCTCTCAGAGCGTTCCAGAACGCTCCGGAGCGGCCGCGGCGCCCAATACACCCTCCAAACCCGCCGATCCTCAGAGATTTCGAGTTCTCCCGATCCGGTTTTGCCCCGATCTCCGCGTCGTTTTAGTGTCCCCCGCCCCCCCGTGCGGCGAGCTGGCCGAGAGACGCTGGCTGCACCTCTGAACGGGGCTGCGCGGGCGGCGCCCCGGCGCGGGCGGCGCCGCGGCCCTCGCCAGACCCCGCGCGCCTCTGCCGGACAGCCCGGCCTCGGCCCCGCCACCCGCCGGCCCGCCGAGCAGGGCCTCGCCGTCGCTCGGACGTCCATCCCCTGTGCTTCGTTCGCTTTCGCGCGTGGCTTGCTCGCCAAATCGAAGGGGCCCCAGGACACACAAACGAATACACACAAATTCGCCGGCCCAACGGGCCAGAGGCGTGCTAAGATCTCCGGTAACTGGTTAACAATTGTATTTAATCGCTTCGCTCATTCCGCCGGCCCGTATTGCGCACCGCGGTCGACTGGATGAGAGGTCGTCGGCAGTGCGGAGCTGCAGGGAGCGGGGGCTGTTTTTTTTGTTGAGTCGTTGCGTTCGGCCTTTTGTGGTGAAGATGCCCCGGTGGAACAGGTTCGTGTCGATTCGTGGCGACCGTCTGTGGGGGTGGCGGGGGAATCGTTGGTTCCACGGGGTTCTAGGTTTTGCTGCCCTGGGGTGTGCCTGGCGCGTTTGTGGGGGCTCGTTTTGGGGCCTGTTGAGGGCCGTTTTGGGGCCTCTTGGGGCCTCTTTTGGGCCTCTTGGGCGCCTCTTGGGGCGTCTTGGGGGCCTCTTGGGGGTCTCTTGGGGCCTCTTTGGGACCTCCTGGGCGGCTTCTGGGGCGGAGGGCTCGATTTTTCAGTTCTCTGTATCCCTCTTGAGCCCCTCTTGGGCCCGTCTTGGGGCCTCTTGGTCCGTCTTGGGCGGCACTTGGGCCGTCTTGGGGGCCCTCTTGGGCCGTTTCGGGGCCGTCTTGGGAGCTTCGTGGGCCGTCTTGGAGCGATCTTGGGCGCCTCTTGGGTCGTCTTGGAGCGTCCGGAAGCCGAAAAAGCCAGAACGCAAAAAACATCGGAAAAACAAATGAAAATCAACGATTTTGGCCTCTTGGGGCCCTCTTCGGAGGCCTCTTGGAAGGCTCTTGGGGCGTCTGTCTTGAAGGCCTCTTCGGCTGTCTTGGGGGTCTCTTGGGCCGTCTTGGGGTCATCTTCGGCGCCTTGGAGCGCTCTTTGAACGTCTCGGGGGCCTCTTGAGCAATCTTGGGGGCCTCTTGGGGCACTCTTGGCGCGCTCAGGGCGGCCTGAGAGGCCGCACCCAGAAGGAAAACCATCTCTGAGTTGAACCGGGCGGGACCTTGCCAGGCGGCGGGCGGGGTACTTTTCGCCGGGGGACCCCCAGGGGCCGCCCCGCGCGCGCGAACTAGTACAATACAATTGTTAACCAGTTACCGGAGATCTTAGCACGCCTCTGGCCCGTTGGGCCGGCGAATTGTATTGTACTAGTTCGCGCGCGCGGGGCGGCCCCTGGGGGTCCCCCGGCGAAAAGTACCCCGCCCGCCGCCTGGCAAGGTCCCGCCCGGTTCAACTCAGAGATGGTTTTCCTTCTGGGTGCGGCCTCTCAGGCCGCCCTGAGCGCGCCAAGAGTGCCCCAAGAGGCCCCCAAGACTGCCCAAGAGGCCCCCGAGACGCCCAAAGAGCGCTCGAAGACGCCGAAGATGACCCCAAGACGGCCCAAAAGGCCCCCAAGACAGCCCAAGAGGCCTCCAAGACGCCCCAAGAGCCTTCCAAGAGGCCTCCGAAGAGAGCCCCAAGAGGCCAAAATCGTTGATTTTCATTGGTTTTTTCGATGTTTTTTGTGTTCTGGCTTTTTCGGCTTCCGGACGCTCCAAGACGGCCCAAGAGGCCCCCAAGACCGCTCCAAGACGGCCCACGAGGCTCCCAAGACGGCCCCGGAACGGCCCAGGAGGGCCCCCAAGACGGCCCAAGTGCCGCCCAAGACGGACCAAGAGGCCCCAAGACGGGCCCAAGAGGGGCTCAAGAGGGGAACCGAGAACTGAAAAATCGAGCCCTCCGCCCCAGAAGGCGCCCAGGAGGCCCCAAAAAGGCCCCAAGAGGCCCCCAAGAGGCCCCCAAGACGCCCCAAGAGGCGCCCAAGAGGCCCAAAAGAGGCCCCAAGAGGCCCCAAAACGGCCCCCAAAACTCGGCTAGCCCACAACGGTGCGACAATATGGGCCGGCGGAATGAGCGAAGCGATTAATAAAAAAGATTCCCCCTATTTTCGCGCATCTTCTGGGTTTTTGTCCTCCCCCCCCCACGTCCCATATCTTCCCACATTTTCCTGGGAGTGGACGATGAATTGTGCCTGTGTGATTTTTTGTCCCCCTCCTGATTCAACTGATCCAGGATGCTCCCCGAGGGCCCTCGCCGAGGGAGAAAAGTGCACACGCCCGAGCGCTGCCCAGGGACCTCTGCACGCCGCCCCGACGAGCTCGCACACGGCGGGCTGCTCGCACACAGCCGGGGCCTCCCGCCGCGGCGCCTGCCCCATGGCTCCTCCGTTCGGCCTCCGGCCCCGCCGCCGCCGCCCGAGGGCGACGGCCGGGAGGGCCCCCGCCCTCGGCGCGCCGCGCCCCCGCCGCCGCGGCCGCGGCCCTCCCCCGAGCCCACCGCGGCCCTGCCGGCGGCGGGCGCCCCGCCGGCCGGCGCCCGCCGGCGCAGCTGACCCCTCCGAGCACCGCCGGCGGGGCCGGCCTCAGCAGGCCGCGCCGCAGCTGCACGCCGGGTGCCCCCCCGGCGGGCAGCGCCAGGCCGCCCGCGAGGAGGGGCAGCGGAGGCGAGGGGGGGGGGAGGGAGGGCCGCCGCGCCCGCGCGGCCCGCCCCGCCGCGCGCCCCCCCCCCCCCCCCCGGAGGAGGCCCGACGCGCGAGGGCGGCGCCACTGAGCCACACAGGCGACGGGGCTCTCGCACCCTCTGGACCCCGAGCGGGGTCCAGGTGGGGCTTGAGCCGAATGGCTACGGGCCTTGAGCCGAAGTGGTTACGCGAGCTATGTGGTGCAAGCAGTGCGGTGTGTGAGCTCTGTGTGGCAGCGGGCGGGAACGGGGCAAAAGAGCCCGCAGACGGGCCTTCAGTGGGAACAAATGGGGCGGCGACGGGCGGGAGCAGGGCTGGCAATCCCGCAGACGGGCCTGGCTCCTCACAGGGGAAGTGCGAGCTCCCTAAGTGCAACACTGTTGGGGAGATGAACAGAACTTCGGAGCTCCAACATATTCGTTTCTGCAATCCTCTTAATTGAATCGTAGCCCCACTCCTGTTTGCAGCCACCTGGGGAGGTAATGGGAGGAGAGTTGAGCAGGGACCGACCGTCCCCGTTTTCCTGTGGGCCTACCACGACATGCTCTTAGAACCCCCAAAATGTTCTGATAGTAAGAACAACGTTCTTAGAACAGAAAGACGATGTGTTAGAACAAGACCGTCTCAGCCAGAAATGCTATGAGGACATGTCGTGCAGACCACAAAAGGACCTTAGAACATTCTTAGGTGGGCCTATAGGAGGGCCAGGACGCCTCGCCACTGCTTGAGAGAGAGAGAGGGTGGGGGCCTCGAAGAGCGGCCTCTGGATGAGAGAGCGGAGGCTTCCCTGGAAAGATCAACATCTACCGATACCGCCACAGTCAACCCATATCATAAGGATGCGCGCGGTCACGAAGAGCGGGGCGCGGCCAGCGAAAGTCGCTGAGGATGGGCCGAAGGGGCAAGCATGCAAGGGTACCCTTGGGAAGGTTGCCCATCCTTAGTTAGTAAGGCTTAGTATGCGGGTTGGCTATACTCCCCGGACCTCTCCCAGGGTGCACTTTGACAAAACCATTCCACGCGAACCCAGCGGTGGCGACGAGGGCCTCCCAGGAGACCCAAAATGGCGAAACGAGGCAAGAAGGGTAGCGGCATATAGGGAAAAGAACTCTATACACCGACGCTTTTCCCGACCCTGCGCTGAAATTCGCACAGGAACGCGGATTCTGGTGTATACGAGATCCTGTTGTACACATTTTTCGTTGCTTACCTTGGACAACGGGGGAAAAGTATACACCACACCACCCCGACGTCGTCCCTGACCCTTAAAAAGTCGTGGGATTGAAAAACAACCCGCCACTGGTAATGTATATGTTCCAGTTTGCGAGTATAGGTACCCTGCCACCTTGCCCTCCCCTGATTCTCGGGAGGGCCCTGCCGGCATCGGTGACGGTGTAGGTGTACAGTCGGCCAGTCTCACAAGGATGCGAGCGATCAGTATGCAAGGGCCTTGGACGCCCACCTCGAAGCTTTTCGAGCGGGGCGCGGCCAACGAGAGTGGCCGAGGACGGACCGAGGATGCAGGGGTACCCCTGGGAAGGTTGCCCATCCTTACTATGCGGGTGGACTGTACAACTGGCGTCCTCCGACCGAGACTTTTGGGGTCTGTTGATTTCCTGCTTGGCTCCTTGCCCCACGGAGTGGCGGGACCCGCGCGACCACCTCCCTGGTGAAGGACACGCCCACGACGCCGCTCCACGCAAAGTGCTCCAGGCAGCGCAGCACGGCGCCGCGCACCACCTCGGAGCTCTGGCCAGGGTCCCTGCTGAGCAGCGGGTAGTCCACGATGAGGACCTCCTTGGTGAAGGAGCCGTCTGTCACCTCGGCCGTCTGGATGGCCAGGGGATGCCCGACAGAGAGCGGGATAGGGAGGGAAAGAAAGAGGGGGGGAGGAGGAGAGACGGAAGAGAGGATGGGCAAGAAGCCCTGCAAGAGAGCCCCAAGAGGGACGACGAGCAGGGAATCAGTGGGTGGCAGGCCCCCGGGGTAGCCCCGAAACAGCTAGAGGACAGCCCAGAGGTGGCCCAGGATGGTCCAAGACAGCCTTCGGGAGGTCCTCCCCAGTCACCCCGAGAGGGCAAGGGCGGAGACCCAGATGTGCGATGTCCTGCTTGTTTTGGGGATCCCACAACCGTGTGGTGACAGACCGTGCGGTGACCTCGGAACCCCAAGACACCTCACCGCACGGTCCGTCACCGCACGGTCTTGGGACCCTGGAGGCCCCTGTCGCCCGAGACATCCTCGGAGAGGGACCCGAGTCCCAAAACCGTGCGGTGACCCCGAATCCCCACCGACTCACCACACGGTGTGGGCACCACCCCATTTGGGGGCCCCCGGCTGTTCTTTGCGGGGCCACCAGAGGCCCCGACGAGCTCCCCCGGGACAAGCCTTCCGCCCCGCGCCCTCCTCTGGGCGCCCCGGGGCACGGCGAGGGCCCCCCGGGGCCGAAAAAGCGGCCGTAGGACCTCTCCCGCCGAGTCTTGCCACGACGCGCGCATGCCTCGGGGGAGGGGCTGCAGACAAAAAGGCGAAGACCCGTCCCGCGAGCTGGAGGCGTGGGGCAACGACGCGGGGGGACTGGCAGAGGGGGTCAAACATCGACCTGGAATCGGCGATGCCTCGCCGATGGATCGGCGACAGGCCCCCGATAGCGACTCTCCGCGTTCCTGGGCGGGGTGGGGCCATCAGACCACATCGGCGATCAACAGGTGATTGGGGGTCGATGCATCCTCCCTTGTTTTAGCGGCGAGTACGGGGGGATAAGAGAAGGGGCGGGCCTTCTTGGAAGGCTCGGATGTCCCCCTGCCTTCTGAGAGGTTTTCCTAGCCTTCCCGGAAACACAGAACACTTCTCAGAAGGCGCGAAGGCTTCTGAGAAGTCCCGCCGCCATCTGAGAAGGCCTTCTCCCTCTCACTTCCCCCGCCCGCTCGCCGCCGAGGGTCGATGCACCCCCCCCGACTGCTGCCTCTGCATAGGGAAACAAACAATAGCATGAAAATTAAAAAATTCGGAGGTCAGAGTTTCATTTCGGGCGTTGGCAGATCTGGGTTTAGTGAAACCTGGCTTAGTGATCTGTACCGGGGGCGCGCCCCCGTCCCAGTTCCACTATAACTGGAACTGCCGCCACCCGAACAAGTTACGGCAAACCTGGTGCAGTGAATCCGGCCAATTGTGAGGCCCAAGGGCCCTACCACTAGCCGGGCCCCCTTGCCCGGGCTCCTGGCTATACCCGATCACTGCCTGTCCCCCAACGGAAAGCATGGAGCGTTCGGCCGGCAGCTCGCCGAGACGGGGGCCGCGGAGGCCCCGCCGGCGTGCAGCTCGATGCCCAGGGCCTCCGTCTTCGGCAGGTCGGACACGGAGGCCAAGATGCCGAGGCCGCCGAGCTCGCCGGCCTGGCAGGGTCGGTCGCGGTCCACAGCGGAGGGCCCCCCCCGAACCCGTCGGGAGCGGCCCTGAGTTGCAAGGCCAAAACACATTACGATCAGCCAAACAATGGCCCCTAACCCTCAGGGAGGGGACCTGCGTCAGGAGGGCCACGAAGGTTAGGGATAGAGTTCTCTTTTCTGCAGATGCATCGCACCTCAGCGCGGACACGTCGTCACTGTGTTATTAGGGTTAGGGGTTAGTTTATCCTTGATGATATTAGGTACAGGAGGCCAGCAGAAGTATCAAACAAAACCACCGAGATTGAATATCCCGAATGAAGAGATGGGAACCTAAGTTAGGCTGCGTCTTCATCGTGTCGTCAGGGGTAGGGATCATTTCCTTCTCCATGAAGTCAGCTCCGGACCAAGAAGCCGGGCCAGATCGGAAGTGCACGTCGGACCAGGCTGCAAGCACACGGGGCTGGAACCGAATCGCATCCGCTGCGACAGGATGCACAGCAACACCTTGGCAAACATCGGACCACTCCGGATCGTCGGGATATCGGAAGCGCATCGGACCGAGTTGGCCTCGGAGCAGGGCGCGGTGAGGCAACGGCAGCTCAGAATCGGTCCCTGGACCGCCCCCCGGGTCCAAGCGCAGAAATTGTCCGAGCTGCGTCCAGCCGTGGCGAAGAGGGGGCCCTCCAAAGGCCAAACATCGTTGTCTCAATTCGCCCTCCTCTCAGGTCCGCCATCGTGCCGCGAGGCACGAGTTAGAGTAGGTCCCTTGTAGTCCTCAGTCCTCAGTCCTCAGGACTGCGCATGAAGGGGCCGAAACCCCAAGTTCTCAAATGTTCTGAGGTTCCCGCGTTCCTCCCGCGCGGTGCCCTGGTTCTTCCCGCACCAACGTTTCTGAGCCACGAGCGCCCCAAAACGGGCCACGAGGGCACCGAGCGGCGTCTGACCTACAACCCAAGCACAGTGGCGGGATGGGCCGAAGGCCAGTAGACCTGCTTGGCACGGGGACGGAAAGCGCACTTACTTTCAGAGCGCACGAGATCGCTGGCTCGTCCGCTCTTACACCTCTTATTGACACCCTTCCCCTCGCTCTTGTCCGGCGATCGGGTCGCGTTGCGTTTCCCGCGTTTGGGCTGCCAGCTTTCCAGAACCCCGCGTTTTCCTTGCTTGGACCGCTCGTTGTCCACGCGTTGCCGCCCGTCCCTGTGCCCTGGCTGCAAGAACTTATTACGCCGCAGCTCTCTGTTGGGAGCTTTGGTCTTATCAGCTCGATTACGTCACCGCTCGCTCCTGGGATCCGCGGTGCTAAGAGCCTTTGGGAGTATTGTGGGCCTCTTGGGGGGCTCTTGGGGAGCCTCTTGGGTGCCTCCGGGTGACCTTTTGGGGCTTCTCAGGGGCCTCTGTGGGCCTCCTGGGAGCTTCTGGGCTGCGGGGGTGAAGGGACCAGGCTGCCTTTGGCCGTCTTTGGGCTCTCTTGGGGGCCTCTTGGGGCCTTCTTGGGGCCGTCCTGGGTCCGTCTTGGACCGTCTTGGCGCCTCTTGGGCCGTCTTGGCGCCCTCTTGGGCCGTTTTTGGGCCTTCTTGGGGGCCTCCTTGGGGCGCTCTTGGGGGCCTCTTGGACAGTCTTGGACGCCTCTTGGCCCGTCTGGGCGCCCTCTTGGGCTATTTTGGGGGCCTCTTGGGAGCATCTTGGGCCGTCTTGGGGCGGTCTTGGGGGCCTCTTGGACCGTCTTCAACGCCATGAAAGGCGAAAAGCAGTATATGCTAAAAATGCATGTTTTCCTTAAGCAAATCAATGAGTTTGGCCTCTTGGGGCCCTCTTGGGACGCCTCGTGGGCGCCTCCTGGGGCGTCGTGGAGGCCTCATGGGACGTCTTGGGGCCGCCTTGGGCGGTCTTGGGCTCTCTTGGGGGGCCGTCTTGGGCCGTCTTGGCGCCTCTTGGGCCGTCTTGGCGCCCTCTTGGGCCGTTTTGGGGCATTCTTGGGGGCCTCTTGGGCCTTCTTGGGGCGCTCTTGGGGGCCTCTTGGACAGTCTTGGACGCCTCTTGGCCCGTCTTGGCGCCCTCTTGGGCTATTTTGGGGGCCTCTTGGGAGCATCTTGGGCCGTCTTGGGCCGGTCTTGGGGGCCCCTCGGACCGTCTTCAACGCCATGAAAGGCGAAAAGCCGTATATTGCTAAAAATGCACGTTTTCCTTAAGAAAATCAATGATTTTGGCCTCTTGGGGCCCTCTTGGGACGCCTCGTGGGCGCCTCCTGGGGCGTCGTGGAGGCCTCTTGGGACGTCTTGGGGCCGCCTTGAGCGGTCTTGGGCTCTCTTGGAGCGCTCTTCGGCCGTCTTGGGCGCTTCTTGGGCCGTCTTGGGCGCCGTTTTGGCCGCGCCTTGGGTTGTCCTAGGCGCCCAAGACCGCCCAAGAAGCGCCAAAGAAGCGTTCTCCGATGATGTGTCGAGCGAAACGCTGTTTTTAAGCCCCGAAGGCCGTCCTGCTTGATAAAAACGAAGCGGGAGGGCAATTAGATCCGGGGTCCGCGGATGCCACCCCCCTCGAACTCCCCCAAGTCCAATTTCTTCCGACTATCGGACCGCACGCTAACGCGCGCGGGCGCCGTCTTGGCCGCTTCTTGGGCTGTCTTAGGCGCCTAAGACGGCCCAAGAAGCGCCCAAGAAGCGGTCTCCGATGATGTCTCGAGCGAAACGCTGTTTTCAAGCCCCGAAGGCCGTCCTAGTCGATAAAAAACGAGGCGGGAGGGCAATTAGATCCGGGCCCGCGGATGCCACCCCCCTCGAACTCCCCCAAGTCCAATTTCTTGCTTTCCGTCATCCGCCGCCCCATGTCGATTCATCGCAGGGGTGCCTGGCGTGCTGGACCCTCTCGGTTTTGGTTTTGGTTATTTTCCCCCCCCAAAAAAAATTCCCCCTGGGGCTTCGGCACGTCCCGCCACCGTGCCTTTCGCTCGGAACATCCTCAAAAAATCGCGAAGATGGCCTAACTCGCTCGGGACATCCTCCCAAGACTGCACCAAGATCGCCCAAAAGGCCTCCAAGATGGCCCCAGGACAGCCCACGAGGCTCCCAAGACAGCCCCCAACGGGCCAAAAGACGGCCTAAGAGGCCTCCAAGACGCCCAAGATGGCCTCCAAGACGGCCCTGAAACATCCAAAGGGCCCCGGGGGCCAGGGACGCCCTGAGGCGGCCCTCCCAAGAAGGCCCCAACGGCCCCCAAGGGGCCCAAGGAGGCCCCCAAGACGCACCCATGAAGCTCACAGGAGGCCCCAGGAGTGCCCCAAGCGGCTCCCAAGAGGCCTCCCCCTCCTCCTCCTCCTCCTCCTCCTCCTCCTCCTCCTCCTCCTCCTCCTCCTCCTCCTCCTCCTCCTCCTCCTCCTCCGTTTTTCCTCCTCCTCCTCCGTTTTTCTCCATCTCATCCTCCTCTTCGTTCTCCCTCGTGTTCCCCGAAGGCTTTCCGCAATGGCTGGTAGAACGCATGGTCCAGTAGCGTGCCCAAACTTCGTTCAGACGTTTCGCTGCATGGGCGTATCCCAACAGGCAGGGGGCGTCTTCGATCCGCCGGCCTCCTGTGGCTTGCCACGAGGCTGCACGGCGCAGGCAGGCTCTCGGCCCACTGCTTCCCCGAAAGATTTCGTCATGATGATTGGGCCTCCTGCGCTCCCGGGCCGCCCCACAGACCCCAGAGACGCCCCGGAATCGCCCCACGAGGCCCCCAAGAGGCCCGCGAGACGGCCCGCGAGGGCACCAAGGCGGCCCCCCTGCCTTTTGGGATACGCCCACTCGGCGAAACGTCTGGGCAAAGCCTGCGCACGCTGCTGGGCCATGCGCTTCCCCAGCCGCTGCGGGAAGCCTTCGGGGAACACGCGGGAGAGGGGAGAGGAGGACGAGAGGAAGGAAAAAGGAGGAGGAGGAGGAGGAGGAGGAGGGGGAGGAGGGGGAGGAGGAGGAGGAGGAGGAGGAGGAGGAGGAGGAGGAGGAGGAGGAGGAAGAGGAGGAGGAAGAAGGAGGAGGCCCCCGAGACAGCCCCAGAGGCCTCCAAGACGGCCCCGAAAAGCGCACGACGAGGGGCCCGCGCGCCCCAAAGAGGGCCCCCGGACGGTCTCCGGAGGCCGAGGCCCCTTGCAGAGGCCCGGAGAGGCCCCTTGCAGAGGCCCCTCAAGGGGCCCCCCAAGGAGCTCCCAGGAAACGCCCAGGAGGCCTCAATGAAGGGGCCCTGAGACACACACACACAAATACACACCACAAATACAAGGATTCGCCATATATTTTCTAAGTCTCGTCTTCCCCCCCACTTCCCATATGTTTCCATATTTTCCTGGGAATCGACGATGACTTGTGTCTGTGTGTTTTTCCCCTCCTGACTCAAGAGGGCCTCAAAGGCCTCCCCTTCTTCCTCCTCCCCCTTCCCCATCACTCTTATTATAAACAGATCCTCCCTGTCGCACCCCGAGACGTGCAGAATCATTCCAAAAGTTCGGTAACGGAGGAAAGGATTCGCATGGTTGGAGTCCCCAGAACGGCGTTCTGACATAATCAAGGCTTGTCAGGACGCAACAATCACGCCGATTCGCAACGCTGAAGACCCAGGAGTCAAGACACAACAGTCATGTTGACTCGCGGCGCTGAAGTCCCAGCAAGCATGCTTTGGCACGACTGAAGATTCTCAAACGGTTCTTCTCCAATCGGGCACTTCCCGCAGTGAAACATAACTTTTCTTGCTTGTATGGGGGCCTAAGAAGATGGAACTTGGAGGGAGGGAGGGTTTGTTGCATCATCGTTGATGCGCCTTTGCGTTTGCCCTGGTCATTCTCCTCTTTGTACTTCTTCTCCTCCCTCTCCTCTCTCTTCTTCTCCCAAGTGCCCCCCCAAGGGGTGCCACATCGGCCGGAACACAGAATCCAACAGCCTGGCCAGACCCTGCCCAAACGTCCGGCCGCATGGGGCGGCGGGGGGCCGCCGCGCCGTCGATACCGAAATCCAGTCGGGTCGAAGCGTCGACACCGCGTCGGATCGACCGCATCGACGCGAATACTAAAGGGGCCCCAGAACACACAAATAAATACACACAAATAAAAATGTTCCCCATATTTTCCCATATTTTCTGGATTATTGTCTTCCCCACCACTTCCCATATTTTCCATATTTTCTGGGGAATCGACGATTAATTGTGTCTGTGTGTTTCTTTCCCTCCTGAAATACCACGGCCTGGCCCGGCGCGCAGCGCCGCACCGTCCGCGCCGCGGCCCCGGCCCGCGAGCGCCTCGCCCCGCCGCGGCGGCGCCCGCCGCCGGCCACGAGCGGCGCGGCGGCCGCGGCCGCGGCGACGGCCGCCGCGGACGCGCACCGCCGGGCGGCCGCACTCGCCGAGCGCGCCGAGCGCGGCGCGGGCGCCGCGGCGCGCGGCGGCCGCGGCCGGCGCGCGCGAAGCCGCGCGCGCCGCCCGCACGAGGCGCCCGCGAGGCGGCGGCGGCGGCCGGCGGCGGCGCCTCCCAGCCCTCGAGGATGGGCGCCACCGCGGCGCGCCGCCGCGGCGGCGGCGGGGGCGGCGCGCCAGCGGCGGCGGCGGCGGGCGGGGCCCGGTGCAGCCCCTGCGGGCCCATGGGCCGGCCGCGGCTGGGGGGCCCCGCGCGCCCTGGGCGCGCGGCGCTCGGGCGGCCGCCGTGAGACGAAATCGCGATCGCGTCATGAGACTGTTCCAGCCTACTTTAGCATCGATCATCAGAAATCATTTCGAGCACCAGGAAAGCTCCGACACCTGAGGATTCTCACGTGCAGGGCCCTGGGAGGCGATACTCCTTCGACACTGTTTCGACACTCTTCTGGGTGCTCGAAACTACTTCTGGGATGTGGTCCTAGGCCACGAGGCCAAGCTCACGTAACGTAACGTAACGTGACACAAGCTCAACATAACGTGAGACAAGCTTGGAGCAACATAACGTAACTTCGACAACTTGGAGCAACGAACTCCGGATTCCATGATAAAGTGGGGGGGGGGTCACATCCGGGGGGAGTCTAATTTGAGCTGCCTTGGAGGCTTCGGGAGGGTCTGGGCAAAGGGCCGCCCTTTCATGGATAGTCTGGGGGGTCTAAAACTTCTCGTCTGGGAGGGTTGTGACCCCCTCCCTTTGATTACGAAATCTGGAGTACTCACCATGAAAACGACGACCTTACAATTAGGAGGAGAGGAGGAGGAGGAGGAGGAGGAGGAGGAGGAGGAGGAGGAGGAGGAGGAGGAGGAGGAAGGAGGAGGAGGAGGAGGAGGAGGAGGAGGAGGAGGAGGAGGCAGGAACTTTGGGGCAGCCTCCTCGGGGGCGCCCGAGAGCAGGGCGCCCAGAGGAGGGGGGGGGGAGGCGCGCAGGCCGGGGCCCGAGGCACGTGCACGGCCCAGCGGGGGGGAGGGAGGGCGGGGGGGCGCCCGCCACAGAGGAGGAGGAGGCGGCATGAACTGAGAGCGTGAATTACCTCCCCCGCTTTCGCTTCCAGGCAAAACCAAGCCATGCCACGCGCCTCCGCGTCAAGCGGCCTGACCAGTACAGGCCGCAAGTTGGCATCGTTTGGTATCTCTTGGAAGCGAGGGTGGTCAAAAGCGAGGTAGGCTTGTTTCCCCCGAGGAGCTCTGGGGAGATCTCGTGGCCCCCGCCACGAGATCCCCCCCCAGGCGTCACCCCCCTCTTGGCCGCCCCCGATCTTCGGCCCCATGGGAAAGCCCCGCCGAGCCCCGGGACCGTCCAGAGAGGACACCGGTCGGCACTGTGAGCAAGTCGCACTGGGAGGACCATGATTCTCCCGTGCGCGCGCGCGCGAGGTGAACTGATGATGCAAGCACGCGAGGAGGGAGGGCGAGGAAGGATGCGCGCAGCAAAAACGGCGCAGGACGACGGTGGCAAGGTGCAGCGGGGTCGGGAGCACCATGTGGGACCTGCTGTAGAACAAGAACAGACCCTAGACGGATCTGCCCTTTCTCCGACCCTGTACCGCGCCGAACGCAACGGTCGAATTGTCCACAAACGTATCCACCCCCCAATGCGTCTATAGACGTCACGGCACCCAATGTTTCCATTGACGCTCTTGGCTGGGACGTGACAGCGGTATTTGGCATCGACCCAGACGCTGGCCCTCGATCTCCGACAAGCCAGCAGACCTGGCCCTCCAGAGCGGGGTGAGCGTCTGGAAGCGGGCGCCTTCTTCCCCGCCGTCCACGGCTGCAGGAAGTCGATGATGCCCAGCGACACCACCACGACGCGCTCCTGGCGGCAACACGCGGCTCCCCAGGACTGGCCACGCACGGGAGCACCGAACCGCACGCGCGGGGCACGGGCGTCGGCGGACGAAGGCGGCAACAACGGCAGCTCGGAGCCCAGAGGCTGCCTCCTCTCCTCTCTCCTCCTTCTCCTCTTCCTTCTCCTCCGCCTCCCTGGAGAGAGGAAGAAGCGAGGTCCCCGGCACTCTGCCCCAACCTGCCGGGCGACCCTGGAGCAGGCGGCGGGGGCAGGTGCCAAACCACAGCGCGCCGCTGGCGAGAGCTGCGCGTTGGGAGGTGCTCCCTCCCTCCCTCCCTCCCTCCCCCCGTCCCCCCCCCTCCCCCCCTCCCGTCCTCCCCCTCTCACCCCCTCCCCTCCCCCCCCTCTCCCCCCTCTCCCCCCCCCTCCCCCCCTCCCCCCCTTCCCCCCCGCCCCCCCCCCCCCCCTCCACCCCTCCCCCCCCTCCCCCCTCCTCCCCCCTTCTACAATTACACAATATGAAAATATCTCCCACTTCCCCTGATGGCGCCCCGAAGATGGCCGACCCCTCCCCGCGTAGTGTTTTTTAACACACAGGATTCCCGGGAAACGGGTTTTCGCCTGCTTTGTTTTACCAAAATGCTGCTCTCGCTGAGGCGCCGGCCTCATTTCTGCTCCCGAATCGTTCCGAATCGTGCTCCCGCTGCAGCGTGGGCCTCATTTTCGGATCGGTGTTTGGCCTCCTTCGTTCAGGATGGCGTTCTCGCCCCAGCGCGGGCCTCTTTCTCGCGCGCCCATCCGCCCGCCACCACCGCGCCGCACCACCACCACCACCACCACCACCACCACCACCACCACCACCACCACCACCACCACCACCACCACCACCACCACCACCACCACCACCACCACCACAACCACGCACACACGCACGCACGCACGCACGCGCACCACCACCCACTACGCACGCGCGCGCGGAGCCACAGGTCCGCTACGACACGCGTCCGCGGATAGAGAAAATCAGCGCCATGGTAAGGATGGGAGGGAGGGGTAGGACGTCAGATATGACCTAGCTTGCACCTCCCCCCCTCCCCCCCTCCCCCCCTTCCCCCTCTCCTCCCTCCCTCCCTCCCTCCCTCCTCTCCCTCCTCTCCCTCCTCCTCCCCTCCTCCTCCTCCTCCTCCTCCCTCCTCCTCCTTCCTCCTCCTCCTTCTTCTCCTCAGCGAAATCCCTCTCCTCCTCCCTCCGCCCCTCACTCCTCCATCCTCCCCCTCCCCCCCCTCTCATCCTCCTCCCTCCTCCTCTCTCCCTCATCCCTCCCTCCCTCATCCCTCATCCTTCCTCCACCCTCCTCCTTCCTCCTCTCCTCCTCCCTTCTCCTCCTCCTCCTCCCCCTCCTCCCCCCTCCTCCTCCTCCCGTTCCTCCTCCTCCTCCTCTAGCTATTCCTCCTCCTTCGCCAACTCATCCTCCTCGCTCCTCCTCTTCCTCCTTCTCCTCTTATTAGTAGTACTAGTCTTGTTCGTAGCCTCATTAGTAGTACTACCATTCTTAGTAGTCGTGTTGTTAGTATTCGTAGTCTCGTTCGTAGTAGTAGTATTGAAAGTATCACTCTTACTCTTAAAATTATCAGTATATGTTTATTATTAGCAATGGTGGTATTCCTAGTTGATTCATTCATACCAGTATTATTATTATTAGTAGTAGTCGTCGGTTTCTGATTCGCAATGTCAACCGTATTAGTCTTAGTATCCGTATTCTGTTTCGAGTATGATTATTACCGTATGCTCAATATTCGCATTATTATTAGCATTCGTATTCTTCGTATTCGCTTTCTTCTTATTCGTACAAAAACCTAGTATGGTGTGTAGTACTATCCTTCCTCCTTCTCCTCCTCCTCCTCCTCCCTATCCTCCTCCCTCTCCTCCTCCTCCTCCTCCTCCCCTCCTCCTCCTCCTCCTCCTCCTCCTCCTCCTCCCTCCTCCTCCTCCTCCTCCTCTCCTCCTCCCTCCTCCTCCTCCTCCTTCCTGCTCCTCCCTTCTCCCCTCCTCCCCCTCCTCCTCCTTCTCCTCGTTCCTCCCTCCTTCCTCCTCCCTCCTCCCTCCCTTCCTCCCTCCTCCCACCCCCCCTACTCCCCTCCTCCCTCCTCCTTACATCCTACATCCTCCATCCTCCCGCCCTCCCTCCCTCCTCAAACCTCCTTCCTCCCTCCCTCCTCCCTCCTCCTCCGTCTCCTCCTCCGTCCTCTCCATCCCTCCATCCTTCCTCCCTCCTCCCTCCTCCCCTCCTCCCCTCATCCGTCCACTTTCATACCCTATCTCTCCTCCCTGAACCCTCCTTCCACCTCCCTGGTCCTGCTCACTCCTCATCCTCCCCTCCTCCTCCTCTCCTGCTTCCTCTCCTCCTCTCCTCCTCCTCATCATCATCCACCTCCTCCTCCTCCTCATCACATCATCACAACAGCATCATCAGCATCCGCATCAGCATCATCATCATCATCATCCTCCTCCTCATCATCATCATCATCATCATCATCATCATCATCATCATCATCATCATCATCATCATCATCATCATCATCATCATCATCATCATCATCATCATCATCATCATCATCATCATCATCATCATCATCATCATCATCATCATCAGCATCATCATCGCAGCATCATCATCATCATCATCAGCAGCATCATCAGCATCATCATCATCATCATCAGCATCGTCAGTATCATCATCAGCATCAGAATCAGCATCATCAGCAGCAGCATCAGCATCAGCATCAGCATCATCAGCAGCATCATCATCAGCATCATCAGCACCAGCATCAGCATCCTCATCATCGTCAGCAGCATCAGCATCAGCATCGGCATCAGCATCATCATCATCATCGTCATCGTCAACATCAGCATCAGCATCAGCATCATCATCACCAGCAGCATCATCAGCATCGTCATCATCAGCATCCACAGCAGCATCATCAGCATCAGCATCATCATCATCATCAGCATGATCACCATCATCATAAACATCATCATCAGCATCATCATCAGCATCAGCATCAGCATCACCATCATCACCAGCAGCATCATCATCATCATAATCAGAATCAGCATGAGCATCATCATCAGAATCAGCATCGTCATCATCATCGGCATCATCATCATCAACATCATCAGCATCATCATCACCACCATCAGTATCATCAGTATACTCCTCCTCCTGCTATTCCTCTTCCTCCTCATCCTCCTCCTCCTCGTCAGCATCATCATTATCAACATCATCAGCATCATCAACATCAGCACCAGCATCACCATCATCAGCAGCAGCACCATGATCAATCGTCATCAGCATCAGCTTCATCATCAGCATCATCATCATCATCATCATCAGTATCAGCATCATCGTCATCATCATCGCAATTATCATCACTATCATCAGCATCGCCACCAGCATAATAAGCATCATCATCAGCAACATCATCAGCATCACCATCATCATCATCAGCAGCAACAACATCATCAGCATCATAATCCGCGTGATCAGCATCCTAATCATCATTAGCATCATCATCAGCATCATCATCATCATCATCAGCTACATCATCACCATCATCATCATCAGCATAACCAGACTCATTACCATCATCAGCATCATCACCGTCATCATGACAAGCATCATTGTCACCAGCAGCATCACCATCATCATCATCATCAGGAGCATCAACATGATCAGCATCATCAATATCATCAACATCACCATCATCATCATCATCGTAATCATCATCATCGCCATCATCATAATCATCATCATCAGCATCATCATCAAACTCATCATTATCATCATCGTCATCATCATCGTCATCATCATCATTATCACCCTCATCCTCATCCTCCCTCTTCACAATCCTACTTCCGCCTCTTCTCCCTCCTGCTTGTCCCTTTCGTCCTCGAGTTGCTCTCCCCTTCCACTTCGGGATCCTTGCTTCACATCATCATCCTTCCCCATCCTTCCTCTTCCTCCCACGCGCTGAAGGAATGGCGGAACGGGGCGGAGGCAGGAGGTAGCAGGAGAAGCGAGAAGTAAGGAGAGGGCTGAAAGAAGGGAGGAGGAGGTAGGAAAAGCAGGACAATGACTTACGAGGAGCAGGTAGGGGAATAAAACTTGGGGACGAAGAAAAAGAGCGAAGAGAAAGAAGGGCAGAGAGGAAGAGGTACGAAGTAACTGACTGAAGGAGAGATGATGCAGAGCAGATCTTTCTGCAACCCGTGACCTGCTTGACTGCTGATGCTTCATGTGGGCGTCCGATCCTTCCTGCTCCTCCGCCCGTCACGTCACGTCCCGTCCTGCTCGTCCGCCCGTCACGTCCGTCCCGTCACGTCACGTCCCGTCACGTCCCTCCGCTCGTCCTCCTTCTGCTCCTCCGCCCGTCACGTTCCCTCCTTGTCCTGGCCACCAACGCACCTGGCCTGATTGGACACGATGATCCGAGCGCGCCCGAGAGAGGCCCGGAGCGAACCACGTGCGAGGCCGAGTCGAGACTGGATGCTTCGGCTCCTCTCCGCTTGGGCCGCCCCCCCCCTGCGGTGGCCTTCCCCAGCGGCCCCACGTCCCCATCGCACCGCCTACCCAAAAACTCCAGCACCTTCAGGACTGCTCAGAGGCTGCCCCCACTCGCACACCGCTCGAGTCGTTGGCATCACCGAGCCGACAGAAGCCAGCCCCATTTGCGTGGATGGGAAGGCCGACCGCCCCTGCAACGGCCTGTGCTCCAGACAATGGACCGTTGCCAGCGCGCGGGCATCAAGACGGCGTCCTTTCAATCCCATGTGGCCGTGGGCAGCCCTGCTCGCTCAAAGCTCCCCTCCCCTCCATTCGCAGGCGAAGATCGATATAACATGTTCCTGGCGATGGACCAAATCATCAGCGAAGGGTGCGCCGACACCAGGGGGTGGAACCACACGCAGACTGCCACTGGGGCCCTCGATGGAGCTCCCGATGGGGCCACGAAGCCTTTGAGAGGTGTGCC